TTTTGCTTTGACAATGGTATTCGTAGGCAACTGACGACTGCATACACTCCACAGCAGAATGAGATTGTAGAACAAAAGAACATAACCATTATGAACAAGGTTTGAAGCATGCTCTAAAAAAAGAAGATGCACAAAACTTTTTGGGCTGAAGCTGCCACCTAGTTTGTGCATATTTTGAATCAGAGTCCCACATTAACAGTGAGAAATAAAACGCCGAAAGACGTCTAATGCCACAGGTACCAAGCTAGATGATAAAAGTCAATGTTGTGTTTTGTTGGGGGTTAGTGAAGTATCAAAAGCTTACAAACTTTATGATCCGATTTCACAAAAGATCATCATTAGCAAGGACGTTGTCTTTGATGAAAATAAAAGCTGGGATTGGGATAAGAAGCATGCAGAAGCCATCTTATGTGAATTAGACTGGAGCGATAAGGATATGGATGCTGTCACAGATGAAGAACATGAGGTTGCAGATGCAGAACATCAGGTATACCATGATCCTGATACCCTAGAACATGATCTTGATACCCCAAAAGAGGATACTAGTCCCGTTCAACAAAGGCACAGAAGACCACCCCTCTGGATGGCAAATTACGAAATTGGAGAAGGACTTTTTGAAGACAGTCCGGAAGCTCATTTGGCTATGTTTGCAGCTGGTGACAGTGATCCCACACACTTTGCTGCTGCTGTAAAAATTCCAAAGTGGAGGAAAGCTATGGATGAGGAGATTGAAGCAATAAACAGAAATGGCACTTGGGAATTGATGGAATTACTTGATGGAGCTAAGAAAGTTGGAGTGAAGTGGATTTATAAGACCAAATTCAAAGAGAATGGTGAGTGGACAAGTACAAGGCCAAGCTTGTAGTGAAAGGGTATGCACAAGAATATGGGGTAGACTATATTAAAATATTTGCACCAGTGGCTCGCATGGAGACAATTCGCTTGGTGGTAGTGCTTGTAGCTCAAAAAGGATGGACACTCTATTAGCTAGATGTAAAGTCCACATTTTTACATGGAGAACTGGATGAAACAGTGTATGTAGACCAGCCTTGTGGTTATGAACAAAAAAGGCTGAGCATAAGTGTATAAACTGAAAAAAGCCCTTTACGGACTTAAGCAAACACAACGTGCTTGGTATAGCCACATAGAAGCATATTTTTTGAAGGAAGAATTTGAGAAGTGTGACTACGAGTATACTCTATTTGTGAAGAGAGAAAAGTGAGGCATAGTATTAATTGTTAGTTTATATGTTGATGACCTTATTTTACCGGTAATGATGAGTTGATGTTTGTAAAATTCAAAAGCTCCATGAAACATAGTAAAATGAGATATTTTTTGGGTTTTGAAGTAATGCAACGAACAGATGACATTTTTTTATGTCAAAAGAAATATGTATTAGAAATGTTGCAACGGTTTGGAATGGATAAAAGCAATCCAGTGCAAACCCCAATTGTTCCTGGTGTTAAACTCACAAAGGACGATATTGGTGTAAAGGTGGATAAGACTTGTTACAAACAAATTGTGGGAAGTCTTATGTATCTAACACCCACTCGACCCAATATGATGTTTGTAGTGAACTTAATTAGCAGGTACATGGAGAATCTGACTAAGCTGCATTTACTGGTAGCCAAAAGAGTGTTGAGATATTTAAAGAAAACAATTGAGTTTGACATTTTCTACAAAAAGGGAGAAAACAATGAACTTCTTGCTTACACTGACAGTAATTATGCAAGGAATTTAGATGACAGGAAAAATACTTCAGGCTATGTTTTCTTACCAGAGAGGCAGAGTTTATACATGCAGCATCATGTGCTTGTCAAGCCATATGGTTGAAAAGGGTGTTGGGAAAATTGTATAGAATACAAAGTCAGACTACTGTAATTTATTGTGACAGTAGCTCTACTCTTAAGCTTTCAAAAAATCCAGTGATGCATGGTCGTTGTAAACATATTGATGTCCAATTTTATTTCCTTTGAAATCTCACGACTAAAACTATCAAGATGATGCATTGTGGGACACAAGAACAAGTGGCTGATATTATGACCAAACCTTTCAAGCTGGATACCTTCTTAACATTACGCAGGTCACTAGGAGTGTATGCAGAGTCTGATATAAATTGATTGCATATAGCATTCAGTTTAAGGGAGGATTTGATAGTATGTGATGTTTTTCCATATTTTTAGGAATAATTATGTTTTGAATAAGTCCATTGCATTATTAGGAAACAGTAAGTCATATGCATGTAGGTAGTTTTGTAATTTTTCATTCTTATGTAAAGCTATAAATTAGTCAGATTTATTCTTCAATAAAATAAAGAGAGTATAATTTATTCTTTCTGCATCTTTATCTTTTATGTACGTTCCAACACTTCAAGCATTGGCGACAATTCAACAAGAGGGGAGTGTTGAAGAGTATATAAGAGAGTTTGAGCATTTGACAATGTGTAGATTCCACGCTTACCAGATGACAAATACTTTTGAGTATTTTGTGCATGGATTGAGAGACGACGTGTGCGTAATATGTGTACATTGGGACCATTACCGCGTTCGCGTATGATGAATTTGACTAGAGCTGTATAATTGGAGTTACAAGAAAGAAGGATGGTCTGGGTTTTGGTCAAATGGGAACATAGGAAACAATCTAGCATAGGCCCAAGTATTTGACAAAGCTCAACCGATTCAAGTAACATTTATGGGTCGTATCTTGGGTTGAGATTTCACTTTGGTTCGGGTAGATTCCACCATGAGGGACAAAATGCGAGTAAGGTCAAATCGAAAGCTGGCAACGAGCAACATTGTTTTGGGCCCAAAGATTAAGGGGTGTGCCACCTATCCTACCAAGAGTTGCTTGATCGGAAGAGAAATGGTCTGTGCTACAAATGCGGTAGTCCCTTTCATCCAAATCATCAATGTCCTAACCGTCAATTACGAGTGATGTTGTTGGACGAAGAGGAGGCAGAAATTGAGGCACAAATAGTAGAGGTGGAGATCAAGTTGGATGATGCAGTGGGGAGTGTAGCGTGATGTTCCTCGGTAGTGCATTAGTAGTACTAGAGTAGAAACTTCAGACTATGAAAGTCAATGTCCAAATCAATGGAGTTCTAATCCTCCTTTTCATAGATAGTGGAGCTACACACAACTATATTTTAAAGAAGCTCATGCAAGTTATGGGATGGGAGGTTGAAGATACTAAACCCATGAATATCAAGCTTGGTGATGGGTACAAGATAATAGTACAGAGGGGTCTATCTATGAGTGGAGTTAGAAATTGGAAAACTGGAATTTACTGTTGAAACAATCTTGTTTGACTTGGATGAAATTGATCTTATAGTGGGAATTTCGTGGTTGGCACCATTTGGTGTAATGGTACTCGGAGAGGGCTGCAAACAAACTTTGGTAGGCAAAGGAAAGCATATGATTGAAGGCTTCTTATGGTCTAGTGAGTTGATACTGATACCTGACGCAAATAGGGGGAGAAATGATACTATGAAGAATGGTATTCAAAAAGGAAGTGTTAAATAGCTTGTTAGATTAGTGTGAAGTTGTTTTCAAACTTCAAGGTTTGCCTCCAAGACGTAGCAAAGTACATGTCATTAATTTGGTTAAGGGTCAAGGTTCGGTGAATGTAAGGCCGTGTTGCTGTTCTCACCATCACAAGAACGAAATTGAGAAATAGATTGTTGAACTGTTGGAATTAGGGGTTATACTTTTTCTAACCTTGTTAAAATATATTTTAAACAAAAATTACTTGATAAGAGTGACAAATTCTCTACTACTTTTTACTTGTTTTGTTTGAAAGTTTAAAAGAACAAGAAATGAAATAGTTTGAACGGTCAAGGTAAAGAAGAAAAGGGAGAAGCAGAGAGTTAATACAAAGCTTTTTAAATTAAAGGAACTTTCAAAAGATTATGAGAATTTTAATGAGTAATCATCTCATAAACTTTTATTTACAAACATTTCTAAACAACAATAACTATTATATAATCTTCATCTTTTATCTCTTTTTCTCTAAAAATTAACGTCTAAATAAGACTTTATAATCTTAAAAACAAATTCAACATTATAGAAATTCTAAATGAGTTATGGCAAAGTGATCAAAATTTAACAAGATGATACTGCATCATCTTTATTTCTTGCATGGAATTCAGTATTACTAAATCAAGATGATAAAATAAGACCTCATCAATACAATCCATGTTGAAACTTGCCTAAGTCAATGCAATGGAGGACACCCAGTAATTTTTATTGGTATTTAATCTATTGGAAAGTTTGAAGCCAATTCCTTTTGACCTTTTGAAACTAACATTCTGTTTCACTCACAAGGTCTTCTCTTTCAAAATTTAATCATTATTATTTCTTGAGAGAGTTTTATTCCTTTTCCCTTTATGGTTAATTTGAGAATGCTTTCTTTTAGATTAGGCTTAGGCACTACAATTCAAGGTCATCTTAACCAAGCTAGACCCTAGTACAAATTAGGCCTCGGTTCATATTTTAAAGGCTCCATAATTTTTTTGTTGACAAAAAAAAAACTTCATAAATTTTTAATAATATAATTATTTATATTAAAAGTAAATAAAATAAGTAGGTATATTATAGAAATGCGTGATTTTGGTAGAGGAATAAATTGAACAAAATTGTCATGTTTATATAGATGGGTGAGATAATAACAAAAATATTTTTAAAAATATTTTTTTAAAAGACTCATTAACAATTTTTTTATACATTAGTCAAAGTAAAAAATTGAGTTTCATATAGATTAAAATATATTTAAATTTCATTTTAAAATAAAAATTTAAAATATTATATATATACCTTATTAAATCTTTTTAATTACCTTAAAACTATGTATTAAATGACTTCTGCATTTTTAATACAGTAATATTTTATGGTGTAATATTTTATAATTAATGATAAAAAAGGAAAATGTTTGATTTTTATTTCTTTTTATTTTGTGAGACAAGACAACAAATGCAAAGGCAGCATTGTTCCAAAGTTGGTTGAATTGTGACGTTGATGTTCTCATTGTTATCATCGAAGCCTTAGTGTTAAAACCAGCGTTCCTCCTTTGTACTCTCCATCATCATCCCTTGCAGCGTTTTCCTTTTCTCTTCTCACATCATCATTCATCATTCATTCCTAACACCCTCTTAGATCTCATCGCCTCCACAACCCTTTTTATTCACATCCACCCACTTAGCCATTCCCACCGTTTCGTGCAGATCACAGTGCCGTTTCAGCTCAGAAGCAGCAAAAATCGTTTTTTGATTCGTGGGTTTGGTTCAAAATGCCTTCTTTCACGGTCCCTTGCCCCAAGTGTCCTTCTTTTCCTCGTTGGGGATTGAACTCTCAGACCCCACAACGGAACATGCAGATTGTCTCTTATCGGAGCGTGTTGGGATTGAACAAATCACTGTCATTTGGATCTCTGAGTAGTGATTTGCCATCAAATGGGATTCAGGTGTGTGAGTTTGTCAAATATGAATATGGGTTTGAAGTTTGAATTAAGAGTATCATGTTGGTTTATTCAGATTTTGGATGGTGATGATGTAAATTGTATGTGATTGATTGTTTTATAGACATGCTTATATGAATTTTATTTTAGATATTAATTGTATTATAAAGAAGCTAAAAGGGTAGCTCCAGAATGCCCAATTTGCCTTTTGTTTTTTGGTTTGTTTTTCTTGGGGTACAAGTGGAATTGAGGTTTATTGGCTGAATTTTAAATATTTGGGTGGCGTGTTGTTAAATTTTTTCTTGTTTTAGCATATTGGTTGTTAAGTTATTGTCTATGCTCTTACTTTAACTATTCTATTATTTTCAGCATTACTTTGTAATGATCGAATCTCCATTCACTGTCTTTTCTGTGTTGAGTCAGTGTCCTTTACTTTTTGGGTTAACAAGAGCAAAATGGAGCCTCTTGTTTCTTGAAATCATATTTAATTTGAAGCTTTGTTCAATAATTCACTTTACAGTTGACACATTTTGATCTATAGAAACATTGTTTCATCCCCGACTATTACAGACAACAGTACTTCTTGCATAGCAGAGAAATATCGAGTTCATATATTTTGTTTGATTCAAAATATCTATAATATACAGTTAAGTTGTGGATCAATTGACTTCGTTTTGGGTAAATTTTCTTTGACATCAAAATTTTGTTCTGAGCAAAAAACTTCTCTTGCATATGAGACGATAGGCATAGAAAATCGTAGCAATGTGTACTATGCAATTCTCCTATGGCCTATAAGTGATCGAGCTTTTAGTTCATGTTTATTCTGATGACAATATTTGCAGTGAAGCATGGCATTGGGTTTTACAATTCTAACATGCATTTTTATCGTTCAGTGTTCCTTGTAAATGTTATGCTTAAATCATACGCTCATGTTAATCTTTCAATTTATTTAATTTCCTCACGTGGGGACTACACAAAATTTCAGCATGTTATAACAAGAAGTGCATTATTTTTCAATGTATTTGATGATCGGTGACCACAGTCCATAGGTGCAACTGACAAGCGTGTGGGTTGCTAGTGCTACACTTGTAGTTAAGCCATTAATTTCTAATGTACTTAAAACTGGACAAATTCATAATTTATTCATTGAAGCTTTTAATACAACTTCAGTTTGTGAATGATATTTGGAATCACTGAATACTAATAATAAACTTGTTTCAGAGGCTTTGCATCTATTTTTTTTTCTTCCTGATTGTTTATGTTTCATTGCTATTGTCATGTCCTGCAGTGCCCCAACAGGAAGCAATGTTCTGTCCGGAAGTTTCAAGCACAATCTAATGAGGTCAGTTCCCAATCAGTTTTACTTTGGATGAAAGTTATCATCAGTCTGTTAATTCTGCTGTGCAAACTAGTTCTTCATTAGATTGAATTAACAACTATAAACTACCCCTGGTTATGTCATAGGCTGCTACTGTTGAAAATTCAAATTCTGCACCTGGACCGGTCAATGGACCTAAAGTTTCTTCACCAAAAGAGAAAAATGACCATAATGGGAAACCCTCTGGTCCAAGCACTTCTGCAGATTCATCTTCAATTTCTGCATTTATGAATCAAGTTTCAGATCTTGTTAAGTAAGACTAAGCTACTGCACATGCCCTATCTATACTCGCATGTTTGCTTTTTTTTCTTATATCAATATTCGGATATGAAACATTTCTATATATTATATTAATATTATTTTCTGTTGGCAGACTTGTGGACTCGAGAGATATTGTGGAGCTGCAACTTAAGCAAGCAGACTGTGAGCTCATGATAAGAAAAAAGGAAGCTTTGCAGCCTCCACCAGTAGTAGTAGCTCCAGCGTTGCAACCGTTTCCATATTCCCCAAATCCTTCTGTGCCACCTCCACCACCGGTCACTAATTCTGCTCCTGCAAGCCCTCCACCTTCAAAAGCACCACCTGCATTGCCTTCTGGAAAAGCAAGCACATCGTCTCATCCTGCGTTTAAATGTCCAATGGCAGGAACCTTTTATCGGAGTCCAGGACCTGGTGAACCTCCATTTGTCAAGGTATGCATCAGTATTACTGTATAAACAAATATATTTGAAATTGTGAACTTATTTTGATGTGTTAATTTCCAAATTGTACTACTGGGTATTTACCACTAAATGTTACCATGTTTGCTGGATAAAAAAATGGATAGCCTCATTTTTTTGTTGCGGTTTCAGGTGGGAGATAAAGTGCAAAAAGGACAGGTTGTTTGCATTATTGAGGCTATGAAACTGATGAATGAAATTGAAGTATGTGTATTGTCCCTTTTATGCTAAATTTGTTTATTATTATGCTTATCTTTCTCCTTTACTTATAGAACTATCTTGTTTCACTTTTATCTTTATTCTCGAGACTTGTCCCATTATTATTTTGGATTATAGTCCCATAAGATTACATGAATCCGTATCTAAGGTTCTCTCAATATAGCACACTGAAAAACACAGGCCTATATAAAAGCCGCATGCACAATGCACACTGTTTCTGTTTCTTACATATTTATATCTCATTCAGCTGCATTAGTTCTAGTTACTTATTCAACCTGAAAAAATTGTAATTACTTGGTTCTCTTTCATGGCTTCCCAGGCTGATCAATCAGGAACAATAGCTGAGATACTAGCAGAGGATGGGAAACCAGTCAGTGTAGACATGGTACCCTCTCTCTCTTTCTCTCTCTCAACTTTTTCAATAATTTCTCTAACTGAACCACTTATGTTGTGCTCCATGCAGCCTCTTTTCGTTGTTGTACCATGAAGTACGGAAATGGACCTAACTCGAAGTTGATGGAAACTTCACTTTGTTAGATAACATGCCACAGGATTCTTATAATTATATGGCACGACCTTTTCATTATTCAAATTTCTTATGCGATAATGTTTGTCACATTTTAGGAAGTTGTTCCTCTCTATTTTTTTTTTCTTTCTAAGAGACATTTTAGACATAAAAGCCTTAGCATATATCAAAAGGAATATTGGAAATCATTGCTCTAAACAGTTTTGGTATTTGTAATTAAAACGGTTTTTTTAACCTAAATAACTATGCACTTAATTAGATTTTATGTGGAGTGTCTATTGTCACTTTTTATTTAAGAATTTTTTTATTTAAAATTATTATTATTAATTTAATTAACCAATAGAAAAGGGTAGTTATTTAAATAATATTTTAAAAAAGAGTGGTAACAAACATTTTGAAGTAACAATAAACTCATTCAAATTTAATACTATTTGATGTATGAGTTTTGTTATTAAAAGGAATACATTAATTGTATTAAAGGTTGAAATTAATACTTTTCTAACGTATTAATGTTATTAAATATAGGCTTAAATAATTAAATAGTTCCTTAAAAAATGACTTTATTGACGTTTTTGAACTAAGAGTAAGTAGAAATGATGTTGATAGTTTATCAGATAAAAAATATGTTGAAAAGAAATGACATGTTAGAGTTAGAGAGGGTTGGTTCTAAAATATTCAAAGTAGTTTTGGCTGTCAGCTTAGGGAAGAAATTTTTGGAAACAAGAAGAGAGAATCCCTCTCCGTTCCTTATGGGGCACCTTCATTGTTTGTTCCACTCCTCTCCCAAAACATACTAACAACGTTTTGTAAGATGTGAGTATCTTTGGTTTCTCTACTCTTCAAGCAGGACATTGGAATATTTTGAAAGCTACCATAGAATGTATCACTCTTAAAAATAGAGAGCTTAAATTTGAGTAATTTATTTAATTATAATGTCTGAAATAAGTTAGAATCATGATCCTTTTGCATATATACATTTTGATTTGTTGTTAACTATGGCCATGAGATTTTATGTTTTTAACACGCTTTGTTAAGTTTAACTAACTACCTAATTGTGACTTCCATTTTTGTCATTTTTTTTAGTCTTTCTATTTTAAGTTTAGGTTTCTACACAAATCTTCTTCTTTTTTGTTTTCTTTTTATTGTTTAGCTGTTTATGGTGATATTTTGTTCAATAAATAAATAAATTTAAGAACTTTTAGATTAAATTTGAGTTTTTTTAAATGTGTTTTTAACTTAATTGTCAAATTAACGTTGTAAAGTAAAATAAACAGAAAAAGTAGAAGTAAAAGAATGAAATAATAGTAAAATAAAACGGTAAAAATTAAATGAAAACAACTAGAATTAAATTGAATTATAAAATATAAACATACAACTTTAATCACGATCAATATATATTTATTGACCTCTGAATCTTTGGCTCTAACTAATGTGCAGAGATTTAACTTACATAGATTTTTAGAAGTGTTTAGTATAAAAATTGTAATTCTTAAATTATGAAATGAAATATTTATAACTAATTTTTTTAATTGCTTTTTTTTTCTGTGTCTTTTTTTTGTTTTTCATAATTTCCTCTAACACATTCTATGTAATTGCCATTGTTTTGTTGTTCACGATCCTTACCTATGTTTTGATCTATAATTAAAGATAATTATTAATAACCGGTGATAACTATCGATAACCGATTTCAAATATCTTTTAACATTTTTAATGAATTTCTTCATCTTCTTATACTTAAATTTAAATTCATATACTTAAAATATTTCAATTTTTTTAAAGTAAACTACCATAAATTTTAAAAACTCACGTCCACACACCTCTTCTTCAACTAATTTTGGCATTTTTTAGTCTTGGATTATGAAAATGTCCAAAAACTCCTTGAAACATTGCCTTTTCAACTAAAAAATAAGGTTTCTCTATCCGCCCTTATGAAAACTTATCAAAAGCTTCATCTTTTTGACTTAAAATCAAATTTTTTGCTTCTCTCACTTTTGGCAAAACTTATCAAAATGTGGAGTTTCATTATTACACTAATTTTAGTAAAAAAAAAAAAATATGTTCTTTCATATCTTCAAATGGACAATTTTTTTGAGAAGAAATCTCGCACATCTTCTCTTAAAGAAGAGAGATTTTACTCTATCTATTCCAAATTTAGCTAAAATGTCATGTTTTATATTTTGATAAAATTTTTCTTTTTAGCAAACATTAGGATGTGTTCCTTTTTTCTTGAGTTTTTAATATTGTGAGTTTTTTTTTCTTCTTAATTTTTAACTTTTTATTGTTTTATTTTTAGACTTAAACTTTTTGATACCATATTAGAGTTTTGTTGTCACTCTGAAAATAAGTCTTTAGTAGATGGACCTTTATAGATAGGACAAGTTAAGCTATATTAACCTGAAAATCAAGTTCAAATACTGTTACATGGAAAGCCACACCCTATCTCTTATTCTTAACCCCCAACCTCCAAAAAAAAAAGAATATTTATTTTTAAAATAATTCTTATCATTAATGATAATGTGATATATGTTTAATTGTTTCACAAGTGACATGTGTAACATCCCTCTTTTATATTGAAATTAATTTATATTTAACACTAATATTATTAAAACATAGTTAGCAAAATTTGTATACTTTGTATAAATGGTACAATATGGGAATACGAATTAGAAAACTTGACGAATTTACAATATTTCTTTAGAAATATACAAATATATTCTTAACTTGAGATTTCTCTTTTAAAATGAATGAAAATACATTAAAGATTTATACATCTATTTCATAAAACTTTATTATATCCAAACAGTTCCTTCCCTACAACTCCTTGATGAATATGACCTTAAAACGAATCATTTGTCTCATTTTCTTCTCTTTCATTACCTAAAAATAATCAGTAAGGATGAGTATTTTCTGCCCACTAAATCTCTTTTAGTATATCTTAACTAATAATAATAATAATTAGAGTGGTAGCCTAATACTTTATTCTAATTCATTCTTATTCAAATACATGTAGTCATACAATCATTCATCAAGCACATATAACATTTCACTCATTATACATACATTTCTATGCTGACCTGTATGTTATTATACATGTATCATATCGTTTCAATTCATGTGTCACGATACATCTGTCCTAGTAACACCCGTCGATGTACTTAACACACGTATCATAACAACATGAACTGATATGCTACGATACATATATCATATCATACATATTCTTTACCACCTCTCATCTATATCACTTTTCATCATAATAATTGCCCCTGAGATCCCTTGAGGACTTCTAGCATAGATAGCTGCTAGTTGGCTGCAATATCACGGATACACGTGTGCTGCCTTAGCCCCTTTTAGCAAATGTATAGTCAGGAGTTTCATCGAGAAATGAGGATGTGGCCTGTGAATATTTATTTTCAATAATTTATTGTGCACCATTTTCATTGTTAACATTCACCATTCTCATTTTCTCAAGATTTCCCAAATCTTCTCCTTAACTCTATACCCCTAGTGTATCACTGTACTATCTATACTCATTCTCTTTCTCATTCTTAACATTTCTCATTTCACATTCTTATATCAATCAGCATGTCATGATTCATGAGTAACAATTTATATAAATTCATGGATTACAATATATATGATAACACACCCTTTCAATGTGCTATAATTTATATCATAATCACTCCGTTTCAAGTTGCACGGACTCATGCAATATAATCACGTCTCATATTCTTTCTAAATCATATTCTCATTTCTCATTCATATATCACATGTTTTCACTTTATTCAACACTTCATTCATTTCTATAATTATACCAGTTCAACATGTAAAATTGTCATACAAAGTCATATTACGCAACCAATACAATACATCAAACTTATCATAGAGATTACCACGCAATATCTCACCATACAATCAGTACAATATGTTGAGGGTCGAACACCTTCAGACTTAGCCCAGCTCGTACAATCTCAATATATAGTCTCCTAACCTAAAGTTCATTATATTATATCTTTTATTACTTAATTCATATACATCTTAAGGAACTCAGTTCTAAAATCTCTTAATACTACTTAAGCCTATATTTTCTCTAAAAATTTGATATTATTAGTTTAAAATAAACTCCAAACCTCTCTTTATATCAAAATACACTTGTCATATGATACTATCAAAATTTACAGAACTTTACTAAGTAAGATACTCATATTTCTCAAAGAACCACTAGATCTATATATACATATATAACTACAGCTAGAAAATACTTCCCTTACCTGATAACGGTTCTTCCAAACTAGTTCTCTGAGTGATTTACAGAGAGATTTTACACTATCCACAAAGAGATCTTTCAAAAGATAAGATTTTCTAAGTATTTCGAGGTAGAGATCTTAAGATGAGAAGAAAACCAAAGAAAATGAATGAAATAGAGATCTGAGCTCCGAGAAACTTACTTAGATCCAAGATGAACGAATGTTTGAGCTCAAATCTAAAGAAGATCCAGAGTTATTGAAGGTTTTATCTGAGAAAGGAGTGGGAGAGAATGAAGATGATGGAGAGGGATATGTGATTTGGTTAAAAATGAAGATTTTAGGGCGAGAGTTCCTTAAATATTTCTCAAACTCGCAACTTTTTCGCTACAACGATAGGTTCTCGCTATAGTAAAAAAATCAGAAGTTTTCTTCCTTTGTTATCTGTTATTCTAACTACAGCGAGAGCTCATCGCTACAGTGGGAGATCTTCGCTACAGCGAGAGATTCTAGTTATAGCGAGAGGGCTCCAGAATGTTCCATTTTCACGATCTCATTCTCGCTATAGCGAGATATCCCATAATTCACATCAATTAAACACTTCTAATTTCAATAACATGCACAAATAACTAACATTAATTGCAAAAATAATAAATTACAAAATAAGGATGTTACAACATGCATTTAATTATGTTTTTAAAAGTATATGACTAATTATATGCCATATTATCAGTAAATGGCAATGAATTCTTTTTAAAGTAAAATCTAAAATATTATAACTGACAAAATTTTAAATATTTAAAATATTATATACTTAAAACTTAAATTGAAATCATCCATTAAATTATAGTAATTTTGTATCAATTAGTTAACGTATTCGGTGATAATTATTATAAACATAAATGTGTTCATGTGTATAAAAAAAATGAAATATTGAATAAATTATGTTTCATAACTTTAAATATATTGATAAGATATCAACATAGGCTGATTTGAGTGGCAAGCGATTTGATATTACTTAAGCAAAGTTTCAATTTTAAATTTTTGTGTATGCAAAAAATTTTCAATAGTAGACTTATCTACCATATTCAGGTATGTAATCCGAGTCGAATCCAAATTAAATTAGATGAAAAGCAAAAAAAAATACTGATAAAAAAATTAACAAGATAAATATACTAATACAATAATTAAGTGAACCAACTATCCTAAGCAATATAATAATTAGGTGAACCAACTATACTAAGCAAAACAAAAAGTTATAAACTTTTTTCCACCATATGAGATCCCCTCAATTATAGTGCAGAACATAAAAATTCTTCCATTCAATTGGTTCATATTTCTAAATAACTTCAATTGTGCATCTCATCCTAATTTCTATTGCACTGATTTTAAAATTTATCCCCCTTCGTTACATTCTTTTTCTGGCATATTGAGAATATTTTACATTTGACATACGAAAACTAATCTATTTTAAGCATAGATATTCCCAATTACATAGTTGCTTAAGTTACGGTCTTGCCTTAACTACACGCACATTAATAAACATTTAATATATTGTAGAAGTATTCTTAAATTTAAATAAATTTTAAATAGCATAAATAAAAGATATTTAAAATTGTAAGTATTTATTTTTTATAAACAAATAAATACTAAATAGGAATTAATAAATTTACTTTGTCATTAAAAATGTCACATATTAAGACATGCACCCGTGTATATATAATATGAAGCTTTGAATAAATTAAATATTAATCTTAGAGTTGAAATAACTTCTTTTTAAGAAAATGTTAACCTTAACTCTTAAAATTAAGTATAAAAATTAAAAGTAGTAAAATTTATTAAAAATATATTTATTATATATTTATAACTTTAATACAATAAATTTATTTATTTTTAATAATAAATTATTCTTTTAAATGTAAAAATTAATTTTAATTTTTTTAAGATCACCTTTATCTGCACATCAAAGTCAATAACAGAAAATAAATTTAAATATAAAAAGTTGCATAAATAAACTATTTATAGAAAAAGAATTACCGTAATATAGGTGTATATACATCGATTATGACAAGTAATCGTGATCAGATATTAAGAATTACATATTATGTATACTTTATATAGTGCATTTAAAAATATTAATAAATTTAATAAAAAATTGTATCATTTAATAATATTAATGTATTTATTAATATAAAAAATGTATTTAATTGTATTATTAAAATTTCTAATAAAAATTTATTACATATAATTTCTTATCTTATCTAATGTTAAACAAATTAAAAAAATCTATGTATATAGCCCTAACAAATATTACTCCCTCGCCTTTAAATACCATTTTTTTTCATAAAAGATTTCAAACTGCCATTTCGTCCATTTCTGCGTCTTTTAGCTTATAATGGCCAACTCTCACTGTTTGGTTCCATTGACCCTTTTAATGGTTCTCTTCGTACAAGCCTCGTCAGCTGCCATTGACGCTCAATGGCATGATGCTCATGCAACCTTCTATGGTGACATGGCGGGTGGAGATACCATGCGTAAGCATAAAACTCTTCCATTTCTCAAAACAAATATTATGTAGTCTGAATCATCGTGTGTTTATTGACTGTAATATATGGCTAAATTTTATCAATTTTTCCTACTATTATATCTATATCATTCATTCTCATTTTGATTATTAATGTTGGTTCCATTAAACAAAATTAATGAATTACTTTGTTTTCTTTTTTTCTTTTTATAACAAATGATATATATGTTAATGCAGAGGGTGCTTGTGGTTATGGTAATCTCTTCGAGCAAGGGTATGGACTTGAAACCACAGCACTAAGCACAGCTCTATTCAACAATGGGGGGGCTTGTGGTGCATGTTTCGAGATCAAGTGTGTGAACGACCCACAATGGTGCATAAAGAATGCTGGCACAATCAAAGTAACCGCTACAAATTTTTGTCCTCCAAATTATTCAAAACCTGAAGGAAATTGGTGCAATCCTCCACAAAAACACTTTGATTTGTCCATGAAAATGTTCACCACTATTGCCATATACAAAGCTGGGATAATCCCAGTTAAATATCGTCGAATTCCATGCACCAAAATTGGTGGTGTCAAATTTGAGATGAGAGGGAACCCTTATTGGTTGCTGGTTTTGGTGTACAATGTTGGCAATGCTGGTGAAGTCTCTAAGGTTAGCATCAAAGGGTCTAACACTGATTGGCTTCCTATGTCACGCAATTGGGGACAAAATTGGCTTACGGGTCAGAATTTAGTAGGACAAGCCTTGTCATTTATGGTTACTACTAGTGATGGTAAAATGTTGAAGTTTAATAATGTTGCACCTTCTCAGTGGCAATTAGGACAGACCTACAAGGGCCACAAAAATTTTTAGATTTAATGTTAAATTTGTTGCAAATAATGTTTGGTAACAAAATTACAAGGGTTGTGTCGTTTCAATTATAATTTTATTACATGATTAGACGGTTAAATTTGTTTCAACAGGCAAATAGAGAAAAAAAGAATGAAAGAAGCATAAGAGACAAAAGGTAAGAGAAAAGTGTGAAACTCAAAATTTAAACAAGATAATGTTTCTTATCATTTAATTTAGTATTTGAATTTCAAAATCTAATGGTGCTTTAAAATGCTATTAAATAATTGCTACTACAAATTTCAAAATTTAGCTATTCAACTTGGTGTTTGAATTTAAAAATTTAGTGACAGTTACCGTTACAAATTTTAAAATTTGACAGCAGTTCAAAACCGTCACAAATTTTAAAATTTGATGGCAATTCAAAATTGCTACAAATTTAGTTTTGCGTTGCCAAGTTTAGTGTCAATTTTATAATCGTTAAAAAAATTTAAAAGTAATTAATACTGCCGCTAATTGATAAATTTAACCGTAAAAAATGAGTTTTTTTTATAGTAAACAAGCTATTGTGAAGTTAACTCTATAATATAAAAATACATTAATTTCATAAAAAGTAATAAATTTAGAATATTTAAAGGACTATCTTTTATTTTGCATAAAAATTTAAATTAAAATCAATTTATATTATATTTAAAGAAATAATAATAAAATTTAAAATATTAAAAAGTGTGTGTGATAGTTTACTAGCTGAGGAGAAAAAAGAGTGATAATGAGGAAAAAAATAATCAAAATATAGTTTAATTTTCTAATTTTGAATCAGAAATAAAATTATTTTAATGTGCATGTATCATATAGATTGAGTGTAGAGAAATTTATAAAAAAAATTAATTATCATGTTAATAATAAATATTAAATCTTGTATTTACATGTATAATAATTGAATAACATATATTATAATTGAGGAGAAATAAAAATATAAAGAAGTGGAAAAATACTTGTCAAAATTGATATTTAATTTTGTAGTTAAAAATTGGAGATATAAACTTGCTTTTTATATATACAAATAAGCTATTTCTTTGTTCTTAAATAAAATTATTTTTTTAAAGTTCACTTGTGAAATATTATTTTTAATGATAAATTAATTTCTCTAACTTTAATCCTTTCAAGATAAAATATAAAGAATCATACATTTTGGTTTAAGTAAAATTTTGTAACTAATGAAATAGATAAAGACTATTTCAATGATTGAATCAAACACACTTACGATAAAAGTTCAATATATGTGACGAAGTAGAAAAAAGAAGAAAAATTTCACTTACGAATTCCCAAGACACTTATTCGGCATTCCAATGATATATGTGGGGCGTTACAATTCCACCAAAATAATTTTTAAAATCAAATATTTTTCTTTTAAAATCATTATTGTATTATTGCGGTTTTACTCATTTTAATTATTACTTAATTATACTTGAATGTTAATATCTGAATTATTAATGTTTTGATGCACTTTTGCTTATTTCAATTATGCCCTTGTTTAAAAAGTTCTAGAAGAAGCGTTTTACTCTTCATTTTTCTTAGTTGTAAGTAGACGTTTAATTCCTCGTTTCAATAACTTGTTTCCTCACATATACATACATATATGTATGTATACCTTTTTTTAGAGTAAAATTTGAAAAGTTTCAAATACATTTTAAAATTCTATGCCGTTACTTCTTCCTTAACTCTTTCAACTGTGTCATTAATTGGCATCATTTGGGTCCACTTGCAAAAATTACACCAATTTAATCCCTTAATAATAAAAAAAATTAGTCAGCCTTTTGTTATAAAAATGTTGACATTAATTTTACTTTTAATATTAAAAAAGAGATTGCTTCAGTTTATTAATTTTGCAACTAATATGCCCTAAAATTGCAATTGATTTTTTTTTTTAATGATCAAGTGACTAAATTGATATCACTTATATTTTAGGAATCAAAATATATAATTCTTTTTTGTTGGATATAGAGAAACAAGTGAGATGAGACTCTGATTCTAGGACAAAATTGATTATATTAACAATCAATCAAGGGATTAAGCTCATGATGCTTCTACATTATTGAGAGCTAAATTGATGTTAAAATTATCAGAGACGAAAATGGTGCCTGATACTTTATTTTATTGTGAGATAAAATTGATAACAAAAATCTTGCAAGAAAATGATCATACTGAAATATCCTCAGGAGAGGAAAATACAGATCTACTCATTGTTTTATTAAATAATATTAGGAGATCTTCAACAATTTCTTACACCTCTTCAAAATCGTAGAACATATCCACAAATGAAAATACAAATTTTAGATTCTTCATGTTGATGCAATCAACAGAATCTTGTTGACCAGGTTAATACACTTTTATGATACTTTTATCACTTTATTCTAAAGAAGGTACTTGATCCGCCTCTATTTTGCTGTAATGATTCATTAATTTGTTTGAATTAAATTAAATTTTTTAGGATTATTTAAATGTAATTTAATTATTTATTTTACTTTTTTATTTCCTTATTTCTTATTTCAATTAATCCAAATAATGCATTTTCACAAGTCCATTTTCACTTTATTTCTTATATACCTATTTCTTTCTTCTCTATTTCTTATCCCATTATTTTATCTCGATCAACATGATGTATACACAGCAAATCAAAGACAGCCCTATCCAGGTAAGGTAGGCCGACAGAAACTACCATATAACGTGCCGATGTACATTCTTAGAAAGGTAAACATCGATAACAATGAGTTATAAGGTATTTACATTACATACTCAGGACATGCGAGACATTAACACCAACAAATTTTACAAATTATCGGTGTTAATCATAAAAGATGACAAACTTTGTAATGCATCCATATAAACAAACAAAAGTTAAACATATAATCACAATGTCCAATTATTTATTTTGTAATGATGGGACATCATTCTGTGAACATTCACTTCCAATCAAGCATGTCCAACAGCCACAAGACTTCTTCCTTAGAATTTGCCACATCACAGAAATCCATTTGGATCCCAAATACATCCATAAGATCTTCATTTCTATCTTCCATGAATAGCAAAGAGATCCATGCACGGATGCCGGACAAAAATGGGTAGCCAGGGGATATGTCTAGATAATCAAAAGCCAAGGCTCTATATGATGAGCGATCAATGTAATCAAACATGGACTTATTTATGATTCGAGCAACCTTGTTTGAATCCTTCCTCCCAACCATCACAGAGACACTAACATTCTGATTTTGTCCAGACGGGATAGTAAACCTAGGTTCCACAGGAAAGGTCATCTTGTATTCAGAACCTTCCAACTGAAATTTGAGCATGTCACAAACTCCTGATGCTGGGATTTTAAAGCCTGCCTGAAGGACAGATCCAGGCACCACTTCTGAGAAGAGTAATGTATTTTCAGCCCAAATGTCAAAGAAAAACTCCAAGTCATCAAAAGAAATTCGTGGAGGGAGAAGAGTTCTTTGATGCTGGCGTTTATAAAAGGTTTTGTATAAGTTGTAGTAGGTTAGAGTTGGAGGATTAGGTCGCTTGCAGATTGATGGCCATCTCTTGGCACACAGACATTTCCAAAAGAAATCATCTCTAGCTATGTCATTCCACTGCTTACAAACAGCCATACAAGAAGCAAGATCAATGCCTTCCAGTAAAGGGAAAACAGCCTTCAGAACTTCTTCAGATTCCATTGACAGCTCCAAGTTGCAATAAAAGACTGAATAGATTATTGATCATACACTGCAATGAAGAATCCAAAAATGTAAACAACTGAAGAATTTCAACCCAAAAAATGAAACAGAAAACATGAAAAAGAAAATATCAAGGGCTTTCAAGAGCCAGGACTCACACTTTACTAAGAAAAACATAATTGCCACATCAAACAAAACTTGTAAGATTTCACAATTAGCAGCACAATGTAATGCATCACACAATCATGTATATGCACTTTTCCAGATAGAAATCCTAGAACAAAAGAAATAGTTTGACTTGATTGATTATAAGAAAAATACAGTTGCGAGGACAATGCATCCTGTGAAACAGTGATTTAGTTATTTAACAGAAAAGAAAAGAAAGAGAAAAAGAAAACTAAAGGGAAATAGAACGATTGAAAGGAGAAATACTTGAAATATAATTTGGGACTTGGGAAACTGACAATAATGCTATATAATGATAATGGCATGTAACAGAGTAAAGAACAGAGCTATAATGATGATTAGAAAATGGAAAATGTTAACACAAGCCTTAAATGCTGATTTTAAGCAACTAAAAGTGATAAATTTTTGTTGGAAAAGAAAACATTATATATAAGAAATACAAAAGTATGATAAATATTTCCTTTTCCAAGAAAAACTTTCACTTAGATGCTTAAAATCAGCTCTAAGGACTGGTATTAACAACACGATTAAAAAATTAATGAATAATACACACACAAAAATAATTTTTAAATTTTCTAAATATCATTGACAAAGCAGGTTGAAACTTGTCCTTGCAAAATTTGGTCTGCCTAAAAAATATAAAAAAGAAAAGGGAAGAAATTAAATAAAAAAATTTATACATAACAACAGAATACGAAAATAGGATAGTATCATTAAACCACTAAACCAACAAAAGTAAAATAAAAAGTACACATATAGTCTATACTGCACATACACTGTACTTTCATAAATCAGGAAACTCAAATCAAGACTTACATCATACAAGAAATATGGCTACTTTATTGAATTACTTTGGGCTCAAATGAATAGTTAGACAGAACCATATAAACATTTGGTTGAGGTAATTAAATACCATAACGCAGTACCCTAATTTAGAAGATAAATATAAAAAGCCAACTTCTAATTCCAAATATGAATGGAAATGGTCATCGATTTTTTATTTTTATTTTTTATATTAATAATTGAGAGAGAGAGAGAATGGTACCCTAATCTAAGACAAGGAAGGCCATCAGTTTAAAGTTTTCCTACAGAAAACTCATTTAACTGCATATGCACTGGCTCAATAACTTGGGGTTTTTATAGATTTTTTATTCTATTTTAACTATATTTTCCTTCCTTTCTTTCGTTCTAAATTTCAATGAAGTCCGTATGTTGAACTTGATCATTCCAAAGTGGAAAATAAATTAACAAAGTCTTTTGTTATCCACCCTTCTTACTCTTTTGCTAAACGGGTACAAAGGCTTTCAAATAACGAAATCAATAACGATCCTCTTACAATACTGAAAAAAGTTACAATCTCATTAACGCTAATACATGGGAAAAAAAAAAAAACCATAACACTGAAGTTGAAAAATTCCCAAATAAAAGGACCCTAGTAGTTTATCAAGCATGTCTCTTGCAATGAGATGTGAATTTAAGAGGAAAAGTAGAGAAACGAGAAACAATTAATTGATAACGATACGATTAGAATGCTATATCAAGTCAACGATCATAAAAATAAAACCTAAGAAATTAATATCAAATATTAAAGCGTAAGAAGGTGTGAACGGAGAGTAACCGGCGTGAAGTGCAACCGATGGTGGCGCGTGACATGCGGCGGAGGATGAGTGGTGAGGGAAGTAGATCTGATCCGGGAACCAGAGAGAAGGGAAGGTGAGATAAGGTGGAAGGAAATGGAAATAGAGGTTCAATATTGGGCCTCGACCCATTTCATCGTGATCCAGCCCACAGATGAAATAAAAACCGCAAAAAGCATAACGTATCGACCCAGTTTCACATCATGGGATATTTTCGACAACAAAAATTACAAAAAAAATGGGGGTGTTAGCAAAATAGATATACTTATGCATGGAATTCTTGAAGATGGAGCAAAAAAGAAAACGGGAATTCTTGCAGTAATATACGCAATCCAATTCACAAAAATAGAAGACTAAACTCCTTTTTCTGTTGACAAAAAAAAAAAACCCTCATTTTTATTTAGAATTTCATTTTTATAATATAATTAAATTAAAAAATTCTTAGTTTTAAGTAAAAGTACTACTATTTTCTAAAAAAAACTAATAGTAAATATTTAACTTAAATAAATATTTATTAATGTTTAAATTTTTATTTTTGGTAAAATATTTATTAAGAAGGTAATAGAAATAAATAATTTATTAAAAAATAAATTTAACCAAATATATATGAACTAAATAAGTTCCATCCTTGTCAAAATAAGAATAGTTTTATTTTATAAATTTTATTTTATTTTATTTTAAATTATTTGTCAAAATATATAATGATTTGGCATCTCCATTAAATAAAACAAGAAAAATTGGTGAATATTTAAAAACAAATTTTCTCAAATAAACAATTTAGTTTTAAAAAGCTCTCTTAAAAGTGAGTGAAAATAAATGTTTATGTTTATGAAATATAAGATAAATTAAATATGACTTTGAGAGTAGTATAATAAAATAATTTCATATTTTTTAAATTTGAAGATATTTAATAATATATTTATTCTTTGTAGAAAATTATTAACATGCAAAATAATTATTTCTTTTCCTTGTAAACTTTGAATCTTTTCGTACTTCACTTTTTTATAGGTTTTATAAAGTTGTGGTTTATACTTATTAAACTATTTCTTGATGAAAAGTATATACTAACCATTTTATTATCCTATATTGATAAGAGGCATCAACATTTTGATTTAATCTTTTGTCTTCTTTTGGCATAAAAACATGAATCATTTCAAATCATTTGAGCTTAATTCTTACTATGTATTAATACTTTTGTTTGTTGGTTCAATCTTTTGTCTTTTTTTGGCATACAAATATGGATCATTTCAAATCATTTGAGCTTAATACTTATGATGTATTAATAATCTAAAACAAAAATAGCATGTGATTGACTTTTTCCTTTAATATTCAACCTTTCTTGTGTTACACAAAAGACTTTTTTTTTTCCTTCAAAATCTTTGAATAAGATTGGATCGGTTTGTCCTTCACAAATAAACACATAATATAATCCTTCTACACTTATTAACAATGTTATAAACTTAGATCCCTAGGTAAGAGAACTAAAATAATTGATAAATTGTCATTTGATTATTTTATCGATAAGATTTTTGTCTATTCTATCATTAAAATTGCTATATTATCCATTGACCTGGTTATATTTTTCTTTATTTTATTGTAGAAAGTGATAATAATACAACTTAGTTAAAATAAGTCAAATCATTAAGAAAAATTATAAAAAAGAGAAAAAAAATACAATCGATAGAGTTTGAAATAAGCATAAGCAAAAAAGCGTATGTCCATGCTAACTTCAACACATCTCGTGTTCACTTGAAATGACCATGTGCAACAGGTATGCTTATTATTTAGTATAATATCCTTCATCGTAGAGTTGACGGTTCTTTCGAAACAAATCAATGATGATTTTTTTACTCATTATTTAGGAATATAAACATTCTAATTTTAGTTTCTTGTACTTTTATTACTATAATTATTTGTAGCCAAACGTCTTTATCACATAATTGAAACAAATTTTTATGATGTAACATCTTTTGAAGCAGTAGATATTATATTGCCAATTACAATTGTCTTTATATGTATTATTGATTATTGATATTCTTAAATTGATTAATCAAGAATTAATCTTAATTAATCAATTAGTAGAAATCAAACCTTTAATGGATTGGTGAAATTAGGAGGTAATTTGAGTTTAGAGATTATGAAGATCAATATATTTCACGAACTTCCAATTAATTAATTGAGTTTAATAAATTTAATATTTCTTAATACTCTTAATTATTTCTTGCTTGTTATAATCATTAGAATAATACATAAAGAAAAAAAATGTTATTATTCTATGATTATTAAATAGTGTGATAATATTTGATTGGATAATTAATATAATCTTCTAGGATTAAATTAGGAAACATCTAAGTGATCATAAGAAGGAAAGGAAGTCTTGAACATGCATTCATATAAAATCAACTCTACAATTTTTTTTATATTTTTATTTTCTTAAGTCTTTAAATTGTTTTAATTCTTGTTATTTTTAACCGGGAATTCTAAACTTTCAGAATCACTTAACATTGAAAGAACAATATCAGCATGTGCCTTCAAATATAAACTTTGTGATAATGATACTATAAGAGTCTAAACACTTCTTTTTCTTACAATTGATAAATACACTTGCTTGTGAGTTGAAAACTTTTGAAAATACTAAAACTTACAATAAAAATATAAGTAGACAAAACATGATTGTTAAACTTTTGAAGAATGAGAATTAAAAATTAAAGATATCTTAATTTTCTGGTATAGACTTTCTATTGTGACCAAAAAGTATTTAACAAATTCAATTTAATATCTGTTAACAATGGCCAAAAGTCCAGTGTTATTACTAACACTTTTTTATTGTTATATAGAAAAAAAACTTAAAAAGGGAGAAGAAATTTAGATATAGACCAATAAGATCAGGAATCCATTAAAATAGACAAAATACAAATAAAAAAAGCTAAAACATTCAAAGAAAACAAAAAGCATTTCTTCTTGTTGTTGTACGGAAATACATTATAACTTTCTAGTCCATGCACAAATCCAAGACTAGTTCCCTTTTATTCTTCTAGGCCTATGTCATTTCGTCTGAAAAGAGAATGCTTTCCATTTCAAGTGATCGATGAACAAAGTTTGCTTTACCCTCTTTCAACTCAAGCGCCGTATATAACACCAATGTTGTTTTAAGCATAGAGAATATTTTACTTATGCTTTTATCCAATCAATGAAGTTATTCAAATTTTTGTGTGAGCTGCCACCTTCTTTTACACTATTCATGGCCAATTCCTTTAACTCCAAAGCCCTTGCTTTAACTTTTTCATCATGGAGCAGTTTCTTGATCTTACATGTTATTTCTTGATGAGTAATGATCCCAGCATTTCGATCAAGTGTCAACCCAACCTTCCAAATATCACATATATAGGTCTCATTAACAAACTGGTCAGCAAAGTAAGGCCAACAAAGAAAAGGAACTCCACTAGTGGTGCCTTCCATAGTAGAATTCCAACCACAGTGACTCAAGAAACAAGCGACTGAAGGATGTGAGAGAACTTTTTGTTGAGGTGCCCATTGAACCACCTTCCCACGTGGATACACTTTATCTTCAAATTCTTTTAGAAAGGCATGGTTTTTTCCATTATTGATATCTGATCTTACAACCCAAAGAAATGGCCTATTGGAGAGTTCAAGTCCAAGTGCCAATTCTTGAAACTGGTTGTAGTCAAAAACAGTGAAACTTCCAAAAGCAACATATATTACTGAATAGGTGGGTTGTTGATCAAGCCAGTTTAAACAAGTTGAGTCTTCTGGCCAAAAGTTTCCTCCCAAATATGTTTCATTTTTGCTCGCTATAAGTGGACCTATAGGTAGAATTTCTGGAGCCAAAGCAAATGCTGCAGGCTCATGATCATGGGTTGAGTTGCAGATAATCCAGTCTGCAATTTCCACTGCTTTACTGTTCCTACTCATACAATCAAAAATAATCTTTTGTGTGGTCAAGCCACCCAAGCATGTTGTCCAAACAAACTCTGTTGTCCTCATATAAGGCATCATTGGTGCCAACTGAATTGTTTGATCTTTTGTCGGTGTTCCTGAAACAATAAAAATAAGCATGAAGATTTGAAATCAGAAGGATAAATTTTCTTGCTATTTCTCAAAATTTTACAGATTTAGATTCTCTTCTGTTTTTAAGTAACAAAATATGATAGCATTGAAGAGTGAAAGACGCAAGAAATGAATCACCATGATTGGCTGTAGGATCCACCAGTTGTATTTTCTTTCCGGTGTTTTTTTTCTCTCTAACAAGATCATATCCTATTACTCAAGGAGAGTACCCAAATCCAAAATATACATCATGTTTTGAGTTAGTCTTTTGTTTTCTCCCATGTTTTCTTAGTGAGTAATCTACTTTAGATTCTGAACTGCGGATTAAGCTTTTTAATGATACTGGAAGTTTGACAAATTGTAGGTGATATAAGGTTAGTGCATGATCTTATTCTCACCATCACTATTGATGATTCCATCATCAAGCAGCTTTTGGATGTTAAAAGACAAGACCAACAATGAAGCTGATGCTGGCCAGAATGCAGCTCTTCGGATGCCCATCTTCTTTGCAACTTCAAGTGCCCATCCAAAGTTCTCATCTGCCACTACACAAGTGATTTTATTTCTGTTTGATTTGTTGATCTCTTCTATTAGCATTTCCAATTTCTCAGGCATGACTTTATATATTGCTTCTGTCAATTTCCCAAGATCATTTCTATTCTCCCCATCTTCTAGCCCATCTGGGATTGAGACCAGCTGAATCTCATTTCCCATATCTTTTTCTCCCATAACTTTCATAATTTGATGATGAGTGAAATCCGTGTTTACAAATGTAATTTTGATACCATGTTTGACTAATTCATGTGAAAGTTCCATAAGAGGAATCACATGGCCTTGTGCTGGATATGGTATGGCCAAAATGTGTGCTTTACTCATTACTACTCTTGAAGTTTAATTTTCCTTGGGAAGCAAATTTTAATGACAATAGCATTACATACATCTAAAGTAAATACTATTTCTCATTTGGGAAGGCTGAGATTACAATGTTTTCACTGTTTGTCTTCTTGTAGTTGATTCTTCTGCATTTCCAACCTTTATTAAATCTATTCTAGTTTGCCATGAATTTTCTTTTCCCTATGTACTGTCCTTCAGCTTGCCGCCATTTGTTTGCTTTCATCTTTTGTCTTTATTAAAAGTTTTAAATATATATTTACTCCTTATACCTTAATAAATTTTTATTTTAATCCTTCTAAATAATTGTTTTTAGTTTTATTCTTTATATTTTTACAAATCTTTTATAATTTTATTGGTAACATAACTAATAAAAAATTGGCATGTAGCAATCTTTTAATGAATTATGTCAATAAAAAAGGCTAAAAAGAATAATTTACAAAAATACAAGGAACAAAATCAAAATTTATTTGAAGAGACTAAAATAATTTGCTAACATGTAATAATGAAAAAAACATTCAAACAATATTTTAATTTAGCTTTATTTTTTTCTGTGTTATCAATTCCTCTTTTAAATGATTGTACAATTGTTGGTGTCGCAGTTGCTCCATGAAATCTGTAGACAAACAGTAAAAACAAATGAGAAATGCTCTAATTGACAAGTTACTAAAAATCAAACGAATATGAGATGAACCAGTCAAGAATTGATCGAGCCGATTCCACGCAACAACATCGCTCTTCATAGTTTTCACCTCCATTATCTATGTTTCCACTAATTTTACGTTTAAGTTGAATTAAAACAACAATGGTTTCTATACTACATAACAAAATGGTTTCATGGGTTTACGAAGAAATTTGACAATTAGTAAATAAATAAATTCAACATCATTTTATGATTTTAAATCCTTTTTGTTTTCTTTAAGCGTGTCCTTATCATAATAGTTAAATCGATGTCATACATAAAAACAAAATAGGAACAAAAGAATGAAGCAATATTAAAATAAAGCGGTAAGGATAAAATTTTGTAAAAGTCGTAACTCTTAAACTTATGAAAAAAATATTATTTATAAGTAAATTTTGTAATTTCTTCTTTTTTATGTGAACTTCCTGTAGCAAACGTTAATAACCACTGGTAACTGCTCCTAAAAGGCTTTTAACATTTTTTTGAGATATTTTCTTATTTTTTATATCTCCCTTTTTCTTGGATTTGAAACATTATAACTATCCTTTTGAAGTATTTTACCTTTTCGACCAGTTTTCATGAAACCAAGTCGAAACACTCATTCTTTGACCCATTTTTTATACTAAGAATTGGATCTCAAAACTTGTTAAAAACTTCGATAAGGAATATGTTCCTATATCCACTCTTACAAAAACCAGTCAGAATTTGATCTTCTTGACTAAAAATTTCATGTTTATATTTCTTTCATGGATTAAAACTAGTCAAAATATCTTTTATTTATTCGCAAAAGACAATATTTTGAGGTGGGGTTTCAAATCTCTTTCAAGGAAAAGAGCTTGTTTAATGTTTATCCACCAAGAGCTTTGTTTAAATACCATCCTTTATAATTTAGAAAAAAAAAATTCTTTTCCTAGACACCATATTAAAAAGATTGAGATGAAGTTGTAATATAATAATAGCGGATAGTAAATTGGGACTAAAATCAATATAGACTATCTGAACACAATCTTTAATCATTACATAACTACGAAATATCTTGTGCATAATTTTTTTGCATGATTATTTTGATCTTCATAGACATGTGATTATTTTTAGGATAGAATTTAGGTATAATTTATTTTGTGTTATTTTTAATTAAAATTATTTTTATCTCTAATTTTAATTAGAAAAAACACCAAAAAATAATTAAGAAACTATGACTAAATTTTATTCTTATTTTGAAGTCGCATAAAAACAACATCCATTACAAAAAGTAGAAGAAAGAAAGAATCAAAAGATAATTAGATTGAAATTGGAAAATAAAAAAAAAAACTAAAAAGACAACATTGATACTCAGACTCCTCAAACTGTCTCATTAGAGGATTCAACCGATTAAATATAATCCTTTTCAAGCTTTGTGAGAATAAGGACAAATAAGAAGACCTTTGGCAGGAATAGGCATAGGATCAACGATAATTAACACTCTCTTTGGGAAACACTTTTTTCCAACATGACCTTTGGTGATGAACGGACCATCAAATTTTGGGAGAACAAGTAGATTCATTGCCAAAATAATCTTAAACAATTTATCACTCAACTTGTTCCTGAATGTGAGTCAAATGAATTTGTAACTTTGATTGTTCATAATGATCATTGGAACTGGACTAGGATTAAGTCTTGCTCCTTGCTTGCATATGCGATTTAATAAATCAAATTAATTCCCCTATCCTAATAAGGGGACAAGACCTATTCTTTTAGAATCTAACTAGTAATAGAATCTTTTATGTGAAATCTGCTTACAATCTTATATTTCCTCCCTGATCAAGATTAAGCTTATGCATTGTAATCTCTTTAACTTGGTTTGGAGTTGAGCAAGTTCCCTAAAATTAAATTTTTTTTTTGTAAAAAATTGCTTATGAAAGACTTCTTACTAATGATGATAGATATAATCATGCTATGTTTAATGCATGTTCTTAAGGACTGCTAGTTTGTCAAACAAATCTAGAACTAGCTGGTCCTCTTTGACAATTAGGTTTTGTTATTAAGTAAAAAGGTTCAATACTTGGCTTGAATTTAATCTATTCAAAGCTAGCTTTCCCTTGCATCCTTACTGGAAGTTATTATTTGGATTAATTGTGTAGAATCTATGGATTAATAGGAATAATGAGATTTTTTAGAACTCCTCTCTTAATAATGAGTCTCTTTTCCAAAAGATAAAATTTGATTTTGACTATCTTTCTTTTTGTGACAAGACCAATTTACAGGAGCTAATTGTTTTACCAAATGACAATCCCTTTTGACCTTGCAGCTAAAGTTAAATGTTGATGGAGCTATTTCTCTAGCTATTGGAATTACTAGCTGTGAAAGTCTTGTTAGAGATAGTCATGGGTCATTTATTTCTAGTTTTCATAGAGCCTTTGATTTATGTCCTCCCCTGGTAGCAAAGCATTGAGGTCTTTACTAGGTCCAAGAAGATCCAAGTAACATGGATTGATTGTGATTCTAAGAAGGTTATTTTTTTAATTATTAACCTCTAGAGCTGTAATTACTCTTTTTTTCCTATTATTAGTGAGATTAGGAGGCTACTGAAAGGAATTAAATTTATTAAGTTCAACCATATTTTAACACAAGCTAATTAGAGTGCTAATTAGTTTGCCAAAATTGATTATGAGTTATCATTTCTCTATTTTGACGAAAGTCCTCTTTCCTTAATGCCCTTCTTAAGATTAGACTCTTTAGGTATTTAGTTTCTTAGATTTTTAATCTAAGTCTTTGTGTTATTTTTAAACTTTTAAGTCCTATTTAATAAAAAAAAATGAAAATAAAAAATAGTAACATCCACCTACATTTTTGCAAGATGAATGTTAACCATAAATATAAATTTTGTACATTATAAAGATATTTACCTAATAATTTTTTTTTATTAAAGTTATATGCATTATTTACAATAGAATTTTCCATGAAATTATGTTAAAAAATAGGTTTTTTAAATTAAAAAATAAATTATTAAGCTAATACTTTTTAAAAATAATTTTCTTAAATATTTTTGTCATGTCATTATAAATTGCATGTATGAAAAAGATAAAATTCAATTGGTTATAAAATTATACAATTTTTATTAATATTTTTAAAATGATATACTGTAATTTAGTTAACTATAAAATTAAAAGATTTATTAAAAAAATTAAGTTTACATCCAAATTAAAAAGAATTTACATTTTATTATATCACTTTCTTTTAAGTATAATACGTTATTTAAAATATTTATGTTTTTGTTATTTATTTTAAATTATTCTAAATTTAGTATAGGTGATCACGTGATAAATTGGTAAAAAGTGTAAATTTATCAAGACGTACACCATATAATAATAGATTTTGTCTCTCACACACAAATAGAAACATCTATCTTTCACAATATATTAATAAATTTATCAAGGATCTTGCTCGAGATTGGGAATTAGGTTACTTAATTAAAACACTCAAAAAATTAAGTGTCTCTGTATATTTTAATATTTTTTAAAAATAATATATTTTTTAAAATAAAAATTAATAATTACACTTTTACTCATTTAATTTTTTTCCCGCTATTTTTTTTTTATCGATATCTGCTGCATTCCCATTAGCCAAATTCATCGATATCTTCAACAGTTCCTCCTTAAGCCCTAACTTAATTGCTTTGTTGAACTGTGTTTCAATGGCCATTGTCATGATTCCTTTGCTCAAACTGTTGAATCATATTAAAAATATGTATAAAAATTAAAATTAATTTTTTTATGATATTTTTTTAAAACTTTTTTTATAATTTTAAATTTTGAACATAAAATACAAAATAATAAAAAATAACCTTTGCTCCTGTAATTTTCTCCTTCCTTTTTTATATTTTTTCTTTTAAAAAATAAATTATAAAATATGTATTTTTAGAACTAAAAGTAAAAAAAAAATTCATGAAAATATAAAAGATATCTTTAAAGAAAAATGTTCAAGGTTAGTTTAAGTAACAAGTATTTTGATATCGTTTAAGTAATATCTAAAGTTTTTAAATTTTTATGTATGTAAAAAAATTTTGATACTATATTCATTCACTATATCTATACACGCAACCTGGTCGGATCCTGTTTAAACCTAAACTGGATGAAAACCATAAAAAAATGTTAAACTATTTTTTCTCAAAATATAATTTTTGCCTTTTCTTTTATTTCTTTTAAAAAAGTATAAACCTTCCTCTCCCATAACACCAAGAGATATTATAATCCTTCCTTGTGTTTACTTCCTACTTTGATATTATTCAAACAAAGTTCGTTCTTAAAATCGTTTCGAATCGCAATTTTTACGCATGGTTATTACAATGAATCACGGGTATAGGAAAGTACAATAAGATCTTTTCCCAATATAGTTACTTCAAAGGACATGCTGCTCTAAAATAACTTTAAAATATAAACCACACAGTCATAATTTTTTATTCAAAATATAATAATTAAAATTTTATCAATTAATCTCATATATAATTCATTTTTTATATGTATATATTTTAATGTCTTCTTAGCCATTTATTTTAGAAAAACTCAGTTTTAGTAAATTTATAAAGAAGATTTTATATAAAAAGATAAATTTTTTATAAGTTAAAAATAATGTATTTCTTTAAATTTTAGAGAAATTAAATCAGAAAACTTATAAAAAAATCTCAAAAATAGAGAAACATAAACTATTTAGAAAAAAAAATCATTTTTATACTAAATTTCATCTCATTTTATATGCTTTCACTGATTGCATTTTAAATTGAATTAAAATAACTAATGTTTCCTATACTCCACTAAATAGTTTCCATGTCAAAAAGATTAGGATGGAATTGTAATAGTGGTTGACAATAAAATGGCCCCAAAATTAATACAAATTATTCAAACACATTTTTTTATTAACACAACCACGAAATAACTAGGCTCTTTATATATAGATAAATATTTTTAAGATAAAACTAGGTATAGTTATTTAGTATTTTTATGTTATTTTTAATTAAAATTAGAGTTTTACATCTAATTCTAATTAAAAAAAACACTAAAAAAATACATAAAAAACTATACCTAAATTTTATACTTATTTTGAAGTCCTATAATCACAACAACGATTACAACAAACTAGAATAAAAAAAGAAACAAAAGAGATTGGACTGAAATTGGAAAATAAAAAAACTACAAACACAACATCTATGCTCAATCTCCTAAACTTTCTCATTAGAGGACCCAACCGATCAAATAGAATCGTTTTCAAGCTTTGTGAGGATAAAGACGAATAGGAAGGCCTTTGGCAGGGATAGGCATGGGATCAAGGACAACACCCTCCTCAGGAAACACCTTTTCCCATTTGAACCTCTTCACTATGTTATGAATGAAAACTAATAATTCAACTCGAGCAAACTCTTTTCCAGGGCATATCCTTGGCCCTCCCCCAAATGGAATATAAGTATAAGGGGCTGGCCCACTTCCTGCAAATCTACTTGGATCAAATTTTTCTGGATCTGGAAAGTACTCTGGATTCTTATGAGTTGAGCATGCACTCCAATACACCTGTTTATGAGGAAAATCAATTTAAGTAAAGTTAAAATAAAACATTTCATGTCTTATATTACTATACAACATTTTCATATATATGTACTCATATGATCTAGCTTTTTCATCTTACCTTCCAGCCCTTTGGAATCTTGAAACCTTTGAAAATAAAATCATTGATGACTTCCCTGAAAGATCCTTGGACTGGAGGGGAAAGCCTCATTATTTCGCATACTACATTCCATGAGTATTTCATCTTATCCAAGTCATTCCAATTCAACAACTCTCCTGGAGGCTTGGACTTCACGATTTCCATTTGCTCTTTAAAATTACAAGAAAAATAAAAAGAAAATGAGTATCTAATGTCATGAATAATCATTGTAATCATTTAACAACAAAGGGAGAGGGAGGGAATTAAATATAACTATTTTATTTTGTTATTTCATGCTCATCTAGAGCAACACAATTTTTCCTTTTCAACACACTCTGTTGTTGAATAAATTTTATGGAAATTTTATTAAATAACTTATTTAAAAATAAATTACATGTTTAAAAGACTATTAAGATGTGTTATCACCAATATGACCTCATCTCAACCAAATTAAATCATTTAATATTGAATCAGTATTTTTATTGATTTCATCATTAATTTGATTTTAAAAACATTATTTTTAATGTAAGTGTCTCTGTAAATTTTAATAGTTTTCTTTTAAATACTATATTATTTATAAATTAAAAATGAACAATTACACTTTTACTCATTTAATTTATTCCCACTAATTTTTTCATCATTTCAGGATTTTAATCTTAAAATTAACTCCCATTTTTTTTTATTTCCTTATTATAATTAGCTTTTAAAACTGATATTAACAAGATCATACGTGTATATATATATACTCACATACCATTATAGACATTTTGATAAATTTCCGGAAGCTCAGCTAAGAATCTGACAATGGAAGCGCATGCAGAACTTCCAGTGTCATGACCACCAATCATCAGGCCCATAATCTTGTCTGCAATATAATGTGAAGTCAGAAACTCTCCATTTTCATCGCGTAGTTTCAACGTGTGAGACAATAAATCGTTGATATCTTCGGCTTTCCCATTAGCCAAATCCGCCTTCCTTTTGTCGACGATCCTTATCAATTCCTCTTTAAGGAACTTGGAAGCCTTAACTGCTTTGGAGAACTGTGTTCCAGGCAAGTCAATGGGGATTGTCATGATTCCTTTGCCCAATCTATCGAAAGGTTCGGCCAGTTTTTCTAAGTATTCCTCATCATCAAGGTTCATGAACAAACGACAAGCCACCCAGAAGGTATACCTGTGTTCAGAGGTTTCGCCACAAATAAATGAGTTTTTTTATGTTTTCCTGATAATAAATGATAAATAATCCCTTCTTGCATGTAAGACGTCAAATCACCCAAATATCGAGAATGTTCATTCTTAAATCATCATAAATGCTAACACCCAATCACTCGGTTCCACGCAACTAGTATCAAAATTCTTAGCCATGCATGGTTATACCAAAAAATTTCGCTTAAAAAAAATTTAAAAAAAAGAGATTTTACTTAAACAAGAAAAATTAACTTAAGTAAAAATAAATTTTTTTACTTAAACTAAAAAAAATGACAAAAAAATAAAAAGAAAAAAAGAAAAAAAAAAGTGAAAGAGAGATTGAGTGGGGATGAAAGAAGAAAAGATAGAGAAAGAAAGAGAGGTTCGATGGAGTAAAGTGGAGGAGATAAAAAAAGGTTGAACAAGAATAAGAGAGGTTGGAATGAAAAGAGAAGATTGAGAAAAAAAAAACTGCGACTTACAATGTATTTTAGTTTAAGTGAATTTAGATTTTTTTAAACAAAAATTTTTGCTTAAACAAAAATACAGTTAGTATTAAAACTATAAGAAATTTGTATTTAATGAATTATGTATTAAGACTTGATTTAACTATTCTAGAATAACTTTAAAAAACAAAACACATAATCATAATTTTTTATTCAAAAATTAATTAATAAAATTGTAGCAATGTGTTATATATAAATCATTTTATATACTTATATAATTTAAAGTTTTGTGAACTAATACTTATATAATAAAGAAATTAAAAAGTCAATACATAATAATTTTAATTAAAAATTACGAGAGTGAATAAACCTTTACTATATTAGCATTTTTCTATATTTTATTAAGTCACTTTTGGGGCATTTATGAAAGAGAAATGGTGTGAAGTAAACGTTGAATAATTAACAAGCACCTCTTAGCCAAGGGGTAGACGGTAACTTCATCATGGTTTTCCCAATGAGCAGTAAAGTGTTCCCGAGCAAGGGAGTCCATAATACCAATATAACATCGAAGAGATTGGGGGCCGAGGTATTGAGGGAGCATTGTTCTCAACCTCTTAGCTTCAACATTGGGATTCGATTGAGTCGTTGTTGGGAATAGCTTGTTAACTCCTCGAGGCCACCATTGAACAACAAGCTTGTTATCATTAGTAAACAAGAACTTGTTGCATTCAGCACCACAAAGCATAACCACACACTCCCTAAAGAGTGAAGTCTTAAACACTTTAGAAGAGTACTTTTCCATGTGTTCATAGATGAACTTCTCTGGTTTTCCTTTCCATCCTGAAGACAAGTACTCGAGGCTTTCACCGATCACCGGATACCCCATCTTTCCCGGTGGCAAGTCGGGGGCCATGAACGGTGAAACGTGCTTATAGAATAGAATGAAGACAGGGATAATGATAAGAGACACAAACAAGAGCAGAAGGGAAAGATCTAACTGCTCCATATTTGCGCTTCAGCAAACACAGTGTTAATTTGGGTGCTTACCAACTTTAATAAAAATGATCACATCGTTGATGCTAGAAATATAGTAAATTTATAAACACCAGCAACGTCTTAATTTGGGGAGCTTACCAACCACCAAGAGTTATGGTATGTTGAGATATTCTAAAAGCATGCTCTCTTGCCAGAAACAGATTACAAATTTATTAAAATTAATTAAAAATAATTATAAGTGATATAATTATAAATTTTTGACTTTATACAAATTATTTTAAATAAAGTATATCCAATTAGAAAATTTTAATTATTTGATAGTTTAAAAATATTACGAAGATTATAAATAATTGAATAATATGAAATGATTGTGCTAGATTAAAAAAAATTATATGTATAAAAAAATTACAAATTGTATATATTTTATACATGCCTTTGTTATTTTATAATTATATTAGTTTGTGCCGTTGCAATCAATTAGTAATAAAACGTAATAAACCATATAATGATTATTATTCGATTAATAAATAAATTATTAAATTTTGTAATATTTTTCTATTTATAATGTAACTTAAAATAGTAGATAAAAATTTGAGTAGTATTTATGTTACTAATTGGGTTATTATCAGTTAGGGAGTTATTATATCAGACTAAATTTTAATTTTATTATTATTTTTATTGAAAATTATTAATAATTATTAAAAATTGTAATTAGTAATTGTTTAAAAATATTAAATATTTTATTACATTGATATTAATTATGAGGGTTATTGTATTTAAAAGTTAAAAATTAAATAAACTTTTATCACATGTGAATGTTTTATATTTAGATATTAGGAAAATATTAAATATTTTAATATTTTTTTTAATTATTAGTATTTTACATAAAGATAAAATATTGATACTGTAACATCATTAATTTATACTTTAATTTGTGAAATAAATTATAATAAAAGAATATAAATAAAGTAAATACTTCTTATTTTTACAGTTTAAAAAAATTTTAAAAAATTAAACTTTTATTCTATTATTCAATTTTATGAAAATTTAAAAGTATTTAAAATTTTCAAAGGAGATGTTTATAAAATTTAAATTTGTAAATAAAATGAAAACTAAAATTTTCTTTTTGTGAATTTACTTATTCCATGATATATACATAAAAATTGAAATACAAATAACATTTTTTTTAGCATAGTAAATTTTATAAAACTGAATGTAATTTATCGTTAAAATAGCTAACTATCAATATTGCAATTACATTTTAAATTAATATTTATAATTAGACATATAAAAGTATTATAAATTCAAAAATTAACGTCTAGAATAATTACATAACCTTATCAATTTAAATAAAAGTTTAATGAATATTAAATTATTCAAAGTACTTTAAATACTACTGAACAATCATTCTTTACTAAAATATGATTTTAGATTTGGTCAATTTTCTTTAATTTTTTTCAATTTTATTTTTTAAAAATAATTAGTAAATTTGAGTATTTTTTGCCTCACTAAATTCCTTATTTAACAGCAAAAATTTATAATACTAAAAATATTATCTAACACATTTTTAACATACATTAGTTAACAATAACACAGATTATACAAGTTATTATCGCAATAGAGCACATGAAATAAATCAATCACCTTTGTAATATATATAACATACATTTTTACATTAATCTGTATGTCATAATACATGTATTATATTATATCGTCTTAAAGATCTAAGAGAGAGGTATAACATTCTCGATGGAAAATATCATCTTAAAGATCAAAGTTTCTTTGATTATTAAAAGCATAAAACTTTAGATTAAGAGAAAACCCAGAAATAAAAATGAAGTTGGAGATCCAAGCTTGAAGAAACTTACTTAGATCTAAATGGAATAAACATTCAAGCTCAGATCTGTAAGAGATTTGAGATTCGAAAAAGTTTCTTTAAAAAGAGAAAGTGAAAAAATAGAGAAAAAAAATGAGATGAAAGGCTATTTGGTTCTAAATGGAAATTCTTGAACTAAAGTTTCTTAAATATCCCTTCAAACTCGTGGATTCTTGCTTGAGCGATCTCGATCCTCACCTAGGTGAGAAAACCAGAGAATGATTTTACCCAATTTTTTGATATTTTCGCCTGAGTGAGAGGTATTCTTGTCTGGGCAAGAATTGGTCTAGAGAGTTTCCCGTTTTTTATGTGAGACTACCTAGGCAAGACTCCCTCTCACCTGAGTGAGGACCTTTTTGCCTGTGTGAGGCTTTATTCACCCGATTGAAAGGACAGTTGGAGGTAACTTTATCCTATCTCGCTTAAGCAAGATTTATTTGTCTTGAGTAAGAGTACTCCAGAATAGTTGGTAACATACTCCTATTACTTTTCATTGTTAATATATTTTTTTGCAGAATATTTTCATAGTTGATATTTAAAGTTGCATGTATAAGGAATTTCTTTTAAGATTAATGCATATACTATTTATCAAAAATAAGTTTATTTTAATAAAAAATATTTACAGCATAAACTAACTATTTCTTAAATGGCTCAAATAAAAAAAATGAATTTTTGTGTTATAATTTTTTCTAAATCATAAATAATATTATAGAGCTTGATGTATATCTTTCTTTGTTATTTTATTACTAGGACTCTGAGTTGCTCTAAATGTTATGTTATTTTGTAAAACATAAATAATATTATAGATCACTCTAAATTTTAGTGCTCTCAAATCTTTTTAACTTGTATTCTTGTAATCGGTAAAACTAAAAACGTTAGTAACTAATTCATAGTAATTTATAGAGTTAAAATAACAAAAAATATGTGAAGTTATATATGTAATTTTAGCATGTTTAATTTTAATTTAATATATTTAAAAATATACAGATATGGATACTAAAGTATTGAAGGCAAAACTGAGAGACTTTGATTTCACAATTTTATATGAATGGATAGCAAAGCCTTTGCTTCCATTGTCATCATAGCAAAGTTGCACGTCAAGTGGACCATGAGAACTGGAATCACTAGTCTTTGGGGTGACGTGTGTGGTGCTTGTCCGCGAGCATGCAAAAATGTTGACTTGTGTTAGTCCATGTTTTTATTTCATGTTAAAGTGGAAAAGGAAAAGGAAAAGGAAAAAGAGGAGTTCAGTGAAATTTAACTTTTATTTAAAAGTTAATTAAGTATAAAAGAGGGTTAATTTTTTTTAAATCTCTTAAAGTTTTTTAACGTTATTTGTTTGAGTTTTTCTGTTTCAAGGATTTATTTTTCTCTTTTTTACAATTATGATTTTTTTTCTAAGATATGTTAGTTTTTATAATTTTTTAAAAAAATTTATAAAAAAATAAAAATAAATTTTTTTAAAGAAAGCAATTGATTAATTGATAGCAATTGATTCAACATAAGTCAAATACAGAGCAACGTGCATTTCTGGTTTGATCTGTTTTATAATTTTAAATTAATAAATAAAAGTATATTAAAGAGTATGTTTATAACTGTATTTCTAACATTTGTCATAAAGAAAAGGAAATTCACAAATCTTTATAATCATAAAATAGGTGTTAAATTTTAAAGTATGTTTTGCTTTATTTTTTAAAAACAATTTTTAGTTTTTAAAAATAATATGTAATATGTATTTTCTTTACTTATTATGTATTTTTTTTTAATGATGAGAAGAGAAAAAGAAATAGAATATATATAGGAAATATCAGTCTAACAACTCTTACACTTAATCTGAGTCTTTCATTTAACTTAAATTTAATGGTTAGTGAAGTTATAAATTATAATCTGTTAGATTTAAGTTAAATGAAAGATTTAGATTGGGTCTAAGAGTTTTTAGACTTACACATGTATAAAAAGATCATATCTCATATATATATATATATATATATATATATATATATATTTAAAATAAATTTAAATTGTTAATATAGACATTTTGAATTTATACTAATATGGTATATTATATTTAAAAATAAATTTATTAATATTAAATATTACTATGTAATATTAATATACAAATGTTAATAGATTGCATTATTTTAACATTTAACAATTTTCTTATTTATTGGTAAAAACTTGGTATGATATAAATAATAATAAATGAAAAATATTTTTAAAAACACTCACTTTTATAAATTAGTATTATATATATACATTAATAATTACAAAATTTAATAATTTTTTATTACATGACCAATTCAACTGTTAATGTTTCAAAGACTCTATTTTATTACAATTAATGAGTACAACTGCGAGTTGGTTGAAAATATTTTAAATAATATTAAAATCTACAATAACAGACAGGACTGTGACGACTGTCCCAGTAGAAAGTGACACTTTCTATAAGTGGACATGCATCATAAAGAGAAATAATACTATTCACTACAGCAATGATATTGCTTATTGTTGTAGATTTTACTATTCTTTAAAAAAAGTTAACAAATAGTTAAGTGTACTCATTAATTATAGTAATAAAAATGAGTGTTTGAAATTCTTTCAATATTATTTTTACAAAAATTATATTATATTACTCGTTAGATGTTAAATAAATTTAAATATTAAGAATGTTTGAATTAAAATAAAATTTAAAATTGAAATAAAAACAAAAAATAAAATAAACTTTGGTTTCTTTTTATAATTCTCATAATGTTTTTTTAAATCAATTTCATTTAATTGTGTTAAATTAATTATTAATCTTCTAATCAATTAAAACTCTGTTTAGGTAATAATTGATTAACATTTAACTACTAACAATTGATCAAAATTATTTTACCTTTTAAAATGTGTAATTTATACTTCTTAACAATGAATGTTTATAGGAAACTTAAATAATTTCAAAAATTAAAACTACTTAATATTTAACATTTAATTTGTAAAAAAAAAGTGATAATTATTGTCTTTCAAAATTTAAAAATTATATTTACTAACAATCAACTTTTAAATCAATAATTAATAAATTATGTTTTACTATTGACTGACAATTAATAATTACATTCAACAATTATTTTATCAATTAGTGTAAACTTAACAATGGCTAACTACAACAATAAATTAAATTTTAAAAAGTGACAAAATATAATTTATAATTATAACAAATGCATTTTTTTGCTAATCTTTTTGTAGTATACACTTAAATAACCAATGTAGTAGTAATCATACATTTTTTTTTCAACACCTGGAATTTTTTTTGTATGCATTCAAAATCTGAAAATTTAAAAAACTTAATTTTAATTAAAAAAAAA